CATGTTTTGTAGCAAAAGTAAAAGTAACATGAAATAAAGCCACAATAACACATCTATCTCTCATCAGGTAAAGAACACAATGAACCCTTTTCACAAGACTGTGATGACGCGTTTAACGGTCATCAGCATCGCAAATCCTCGAAAGTTTTTCATATTTGTATTTTTTTTTTAAATGTATCTACATTTATAACACTATTCTTTGTATTTTATCACCTTTGCATTAAATTACAAAAAAAAAAACAGTTAACGCTAATGCGAGGGTGTTTCTAATGCAGCGTCTATGGGAGGGACGGTAAATTTGACATCGTTCTCTCTTCTGACAGCCGTTATCAGTCTCTCTCAATTTTTTTCCTTTTATTGAAAGTCACGAAAACACTACCGTGGAGTTTTTCTTTTGCTATTTGAGCAAATGGGAATGCAAAAAATATATTTGTGGTACTCTCCCATTCACTGCTATTCAAGTTAACCCAACTATGACGACTTCCGCTGCTGAGAACCCCGGAAATGTGAAAAAGGTCCATGATGTAGTACATACTAGGGGTTTAACGGTACACGTATTCGTAACGAAAATTTTCAGTATGGGTTTTTCTGTTCGGTACGCATATGTACATGTGTACATACATACATAAACCCTTCATGTAATCGTTCAATTAGTGTTTCAACCGCAGAAAGACATCATTAAAACAGCTTTTAAACAAAATGTCATGTAGCATTTCATTTACCTCAGGCAAGTCATCAGTGTCTACAGCTCGTTATTTGCTAGAGAAATGAAGTCTAGACTATATAGAAATATTAGACTATACTTCATTATATTTACTTTACCTGTTAGTGATGTCTTAATTATGTAATGTATATGTTTAAAGAAATACATTATGAAACAAGTTATGACTGTAAATTATTATATTTCAACAACAAATAGAAATTGTTTAATTTAGAAGTTGATTTAAAAACAATTTACATGTTTGCATACAATTTTTATTTAAATGTTGATTATTAGGTTAAAAATAAATAGTAATTGAATTTAAGTCTGGGCTCTGTTATTAATTGTAACCTTCAGTAAACCATTGATAAATTAAAAAAAAAAAGAAAGAAAGAAATTTATGTTTAGTAATTTTCCTCCTGCTGTACCAAAACCATACCAAACCATGATGTCAAAACGGGGGTACATACAGAACCGTCATGTTTGTGTACCGTTATACCCCTAGTACATACTGTAATGAGAATGATGTTGAACACCCCTGTTCTTAGAAAGCACAGAACAGGGCACAGTGCAGAATTTTGCCAGAAATGCATTCATAGCCAATGAGAATATTACAATATTACACCAGCTTGTTCTCCCAATTAATTCGGAAGAAACAGGCCCAACTATGGCACAACGATTCCCATCACAACTTCAATAACATAATTTCAAGCTGAACTAATCATTGTCTGTGCTTGCACTTACTGACTTTTCAATCAATTCACCCATTTATTCCTCTATTCATTTAATGGTTAATTAATGATCATGTATAACACACCCTATGTTCGAACTTGTTCATTCGTCTGGTCTGGGTTAAAAGTTTAGATTTTATCGGACTACTAAAACTTTTCAACTCAGATCAATATTTTGTGTATTCTACATTATTTCTTGCTTAAAGAAAGCAAAATTGTTTTAAACAATGAAACAATAAATATGCTGTTTAAAGTATTAGAACACTTTCTTGCTGGCAAACTTGATGAACGGTGTTAATATACCTTCTTACTTGGTTAGATCTGAGAAACCCAGCATTTGACATGCCACTTGGGTTTGGCATTCCGATGGCATTTAAACATTTTTAGTCAAATTAAGTGTCCAAACATATTTTGAGCCAATTAATGATGAATACAGGCCTGCAAGATGAGAAGCTGTCTGGTTCGTACTCAAGGAGAAGAGCTTAGCCGGCAACAAAGACAAAGATCTCTCTCTTTCTGCCTCTCTCGCTCTCTCTGAGGTGATGCTCCGACTGGCACGTTCTCTTTCTCAAGCAGCATCTATCTGCCAGCTTCTACTTCTGTAAAGTCTGGGAGTCACTCCACTAATATCATGGTTTAACATAAGCCACTCACAACTACACTGAATTGCTTTTACACACTGCAACACATACATTTCTGTATTTTTTCAGTCCTAACAATGCTATCCTTCACTGGAATGGGGCCTCGCTAGGATTTACCACTGCTGTATTACAAACAATATTACATAACCTACAGTAAATGACCTCAAGCAAAAACTCTGCCCTCTCTTTCAAAAGTCTGGCATTAACAATTACAGCTCAGCACCGATTCGCCCCTTGATTTTTCAGGGAAATAAATTACCTCACTGGAATTCTATCATTCCATAATCCGTTTCTGCTTAGAAATCCTTTTATTAGCGCCCATTAGGCTGAAATCACATTAACAGGGACGTACATACAAGAGACGCAGTCATGCAGGGGTAAATAAGAAAAGAAAACCAGCCCGACCTGAGAAAGCAAAATAGAATTAGCCTAAGTCTTCTGACAGTCTGTTTTAAGTTTAATCCTTAATCAAATGCTTCAAATGTCTCTTCGCAAATCGAGATTTCCGCTAAAAGCTTGTTAGTTCTGCTTGATATAGTACAGGTCAACTGTACACCCGCCCCCAATTACTTGATTTTACGTCTGTCCTTGTGCTCAGCTGTAATTTTTCAACAGTTTGAAGAGATTAGACCGAATAACATGTTTTGAACCACATCTGAAATCTGAATAACATTGCCTTCGTACAAAGTATATGATGGTAAAGACATTAATGCACGTCTCAATTGAATGTCTTTCTAACTCAGATGCCTTTATCTGGTTGGTTTAACGTTTTTAGCCAATAATATCCCACAGTCTTATGCGTGCGGTTCAGTGACTGGTGGAAGAAAGAATTAAAAGAATGAAATTAATTCAACAATTATCAGTTTTTCATTGTATCTTTCCATCTTTACCTGGAAATAATCTTTGTTTAATCATTAAATATTTGCTTGGTTATCTGAAGGTTACTAGAATGCGTTGTAGATCATTAGATATGACATTGTGCATTGGAAGTCTGTATGAAACCAATTTCCTTATGAGATACATTCAGCAAAAATGCTTCCTTCGGTTTAGAACACAACCACGGTATCTCGAGAAAAAGGAGGAGAAAATAAAGAGATAGAACAACAAAGTTGTTCTCCTACGCAAATACTAAAACCTGACAGGTGAGTGACAGGTGTGGCACTGCTGTCTGTTCATACAATACACAGTGATAAATGTACTTTAAATGTCTAAGCATGTTTTATGGTCGGTCGTAATATCTAAAACCTTCCCGTCAAGCATATATTCTTCACATGTTGTTTAATATCAGAAGCTGGTTCAGTATGAAAAGACTAAGCACAAGCGTTGTCTTAACAAACAACAATGCATGTGCATGTTTCTCTGGCATTAGAGAGGCACACAAGTGTGCACGTTGAATGAAGAGCCCTGTACAACACAGGCAAAATACTAGGCAGTGTGCTGGGAACGGGTCAAGAACACGACCTTACTGGCAGGGTTATGTTAAGTGTTCCCTAGCTTGAAGCCAGCTGTAGCTCTCCTTTCCCTAGGGACATCTCCATCGTTCCCAGTACGTCAAACAAACACTAGCACAAATGCAGCAACAGCATAAAACAGCTGAATGTATTTCTTAATACTTTAGGTCTTATTTAACTAAAGAAACTTATATCAACCACACTACATTTAGTATAAAACCAATCAATTTCAGTCATCTTAAATTCTAAAGCATCCCAGTTGTATGTTTCTATGGTTTGCTTTATTGTGATAAAGGACAAAATAAAACCCACAAGATCATGTAAAGTCGCTAAGCTCAGGATTTCTGAAAGACACTTGATCTATCATGGGTTATCATCATGCAGCTGAGGTTAGGTTAGTCATGTATAACAGCCTACTAGTCACGTATGAGTCTCTAACTCTAGCAGCAAACTAGGTCTAGCTAGTTTGGATGGTGCCCAAAATAAAACTATAGAGATGGAGCCTTCCAATTAAAACATTGCTATCAATTTGAAGGTGAATTTTAAGATGAATTTAGTCAAGAAAATGCAGTCATATGTACTTACATATACACACAATCCAAATATATATACACCAACCCCATTATATATAAACATCTAAATGTAGTATGCACACACATACCAAACCACTATAATTCTAATCTTTATGATGATATAAGCAAACAAATATATTATATAGAAAATAGTATAGAGAATATTTTTGCTTTGTGTAATATTATAATAAATGGCAATACTATATGTAAACCCAAAAATGCCAACAAAGTACTTGAAATTGAAGAATAGAAAAGAAAAGAAAAGAAAAGAGCTGGCCACTGATGGATTAAAGTGGGCACGTACACCACGATTCTCTGGCTGTCTGAAAACCCGGTATGCTACCTACAAAGACAGCACTTTAGGGCATCACAGGCGCCACCACTGATGCCTAAAGATGCAGTCTACACAGGCAGCTCGTTGTGCTATAGAGACAAAGCCAGAAAACGCGAGTATGATGCCCAAAAATGCTGTCTATGTAGGCAACTTAATTGTTTTTTTAGAACACAGCCTCTCTCTTTAAACAAACGAGTTCCCGGCATTGACTGACTGACTACGAGCAACACCTACCAGTTTTTAGGAAACTGTAACACGTTGATATGTGTTCATCATAACTCACTTACCCATGTGACAGCTCTCAACATGTGGTACAGGTTTATTTGGGCTTTTTTGTCACTTAACTAGTTTGTAGACTTTTTTAGAGCTCGAGATGAAGGCTCGCGAGGCTATGCGGCTAATAGCCGACTGACATTTAGAGAACTATTAAACTACACTATTTAACAACACGGTAATACCATTACAGACCAATAACATTTTCCACATAATGTTTTGTTAGGGTTTATCCCCTGTGTTGGTTTATTTATGCATTTTGACGAGAAAAACAAATAGTTTTTTGCGTTAACGTTACCTTTTCGCCCTCCATCACGTCTCGTCAAATGTTCGATGACGTCTCGCCGTACGTTGAGTCAGTTGAAACTTCGACTTTTTCCTTCGGTTTTCGTCAGAATTCAACTTTTAAATAAAATTAAGGATAAAAACAATAAATAAATAAATACCGCTTCGCCAAGTATGGTGTAGCTTAAAAGAGAGACCGAGTAAATGCCTTCAGATGCCTCTCTTCAACTTCTTCTGACAGCTCCCTAGTTACTTAAATAAGTTTATTTCTCCTCCTTTCTCTTATCTGGTCTGTTTTAAATAAACTAAAGTTATCAGCTCGACCCGGTGAGTCTGAGACGTTGCCTGGGTTCGCCGGGTATATGTATGACGCAACAACGTAGGGAGTGAGGTAGGCTAGACTGGAATTCTGATCTGTGATTGGCTCATACCGACTGCGTAAAAGAGCGTGCAGAACTACTCATCAAGAGAATGAATCTTGAAAGATCGAGTCATTCTTTGATAACACTAACCATAGTACACTTCTGTTTTGAGACGCTGAGTTAGCATGCCTTTGGAGAATGCAGTCAATGTTTCTAATAATATTTTAGTTTTACATTTTTAGTTTTAGTTCATTTTTATTTTATTAATTTTTTTCAAACAAGTGCATTTTAAAAACTCTTAAATACAAACTCAATCAATGTTCACTAAGCCACGATTAAAAATATGCTTTCATTAATGTTAAGTTTCTTTTCATAATAAGATTTCATAACTGAATAGACTACACTCTAAAAAATGCTGGGTTAAATATAACCCAGCGCTGGGTTAAAAAGGGACAAACCCAGCTATTGGGTTGTTTTGACCCAGCGGTTGGGATGTTTTGAACCTAACCGCTGGGTCAAAACAACCCAATAGCTGGGTTTGTCCCTTTTTAACCCAGCGCTGGGTTATATTTAACCCAGCATTTTTTAGAGTGTAGAATTATACAGCATATAGAACAAAAAGAATTATGTGGCATGCTAAGAATATTTAGCAAATGCATGCCAAAATAGAACGAAAAGACCGTTTCATTGAGAGAGGTGCACAAAAATATTTAGAAAATGCACTGCATGATAGAAAATCTCTGATTCTTAAAAAAAAAAATGTTTTTCTTTAAAAGTGTGTAAGGAAGTGTGTAAGGAGAAAAAAATCTTTCCAAATAAAACTCTTTGCATAATCAAAATAGAAAGAAAACTTTCATGTCTTATTCTTTTGAAATCTAACGAAAACAAAAGTAGGTGGTGACAGAAAAGTCTGGGTATCCAGGAAAAGAAAACTAATAGGCTATACGAACAAAATGCTAATTCTTGCTGTTATAATTGTTGCAACCTAATATTTTATAATAGCTTAACACTATTTCTCAACTCTTCATTTCTTAAACTTATTTATATAGTTGGTTTACATGTTAAAAAAAAATTAGATTCTAAAGATGTTAGTAAATAAATACTGATCCCAGATCCACTCTACTATGGTAAGTTAAAGATGTTGGCAAATAAATATGAACACATTAAAAAAAAAGTCTTAAGAGATATACAGGCTTATGTGGCAGAATCACTTATGCAAATACATAATATCCTGTCAAGAGAGGAAACAGGTGTCCAGGTAACTATGTGCTGCATGAGCTGCCTATTCAGGACCCTTTGTACCAGATCAGTGATTAAACCACTAGACTTGCAGTCAAACTGAACAAGTGTTTATAGAGAAGCTCAAAGAGCGATTGTGTCTCACTCCTACAGACAATTCCTTTTGGATCATGGGAAAGCGAGAGATGAGAGGGGGTAATACGTAACAACTCATTACGACACAGAGGTTTTGTTCGAGTTGGTGGGGAAGTATCTGCTTATCGCATAAGTAAAATAATCAACCTGCAAGAGCAGGAAACAACAACGCATTGGCACAATAATCAAAAGAAATGTTAAATTTCTTTGATATGCTAAGAAAAACAAAAACAGACATTTCTGAACAATCAATGATGGATGTTCTAAACCTGGAAGACAGAAAAGAAAATAATAAAATAAGCATGACAGTCCAGGATGTTCGTCATCTCAAGCCTTCAGAAGAGCATAAAAGGAGTGAATCAAGCTCTGAAACAATACAATGCAGGAAGGTGCTAAAATTAAAAGATTTCCAGTCAGAATATAATCTGTTAAATAAGATTCATGGAATTGCTGGAAGTTTAACAAACACTCCCTACAATGCTACACTTACTATTGAAATTTGAATAATATAAATAACATTAAGAAAATAATACATAAATAATTATATGTAATTAATAATAATTATCATCCCCCCCTTACCCTTTTGGTTTATAAATCATTAGGCTAACCGAGACTTGTCATTTGCACTTACATATTGTTGCTCTTTTGTTAGTTTGATTGCTTCTATTGTCCTCATTTGTCAGTAGCTTTGGATAAAAGTGTCTAAGTATCTAAATGACTAAATGTAGATGTAAATATTATTTACAATGCATTATTTAAATATAAATATTATGAATTTATAAGGCTATTTTATATATATATATATATATATATATATATAAAATATAACTAATAATTTTATATAGTTACATTTATATAAAACTATATAAAATTATAGAATTTTTGCACATATACTTTAAATCAGAACATACAAACCCCTTGTCTTTTGTTTATTTAAAGCTAACTAATATAAATCATTAGGCTAACCGAGACTTGTCATTTGCACTTACATATTGTTGCTCTTTTGTTAGTTTGATTGCTTCTATTGTCCTCATTTGTCAGTAGCTTTGGATAAAAGTGTCTAAGTATCTAAATGACTAAATGTAGATGTAAATATTATTTACAATGCATTATTTAAATATAAATATTATGAATTTATAAGGCTATTTTATATATATATATATATATATATATATATAAAATATAACTAATAATTTTATATAGTTACATTTATATAAAACTATATAAAATTATAGAATTTTTGCACATATACTTTAAATCAGAACATACAAACCCCTTGTCTTTTGTTTATTTAAAGCTAACTAATATTTCTAGTCCCATACAGTTTAAATTGAATGGTGGCACTTAATGTTTACATTTTTAGAAATAAAATTTAAAGGGGTCATATGATGTTTCTAAAAAGAACATTATGATGTGTATTTGGTGTAATGCAATGTGTTTATGCGGTTTAAGGTTCAAAAAACACATTATTTTCCACATACTGTACATTATTGTTTCTCCTCTATGCCCCGCCTTTCTGAAACGCGTCGATTTTTACAAAGCTCATCGGTCTGAAAAGCGAGGTGTGCTGTGATTGGCCAGCTATCCAGTGTGTTGTGATTGGCCGAATACCTCAAGCGTGTCATGGAAATGTTACGCCCCTTATCATACTGTGATGCCATCTCCCAGCACGACGAGACAAAACAAATAAAACCCATTACAAACGAGGCATTTGTTGCATCCAGTGGTGACATAATTACTGATTATAATGACTTATACTGTGTTTTTACGCGTTGCGTATCGCGCCGCGTAAACATAAAACCATGTCTGCATTTGTGATCGGAGAAATTACAAACAACAAGCGCTACTCTACACTGCTCAAAATTCGCGTTTGAATCGTCAGTGGCAAATTCTTTAAATATAAAAAATGTACTTACAGGCTGTGAGTCAGAATCGCCAGACTGTCCTTGCAAAGTTGGAACTGCCCCACTTTATAGAACAGCCTTTGAACACAGACCCATTGTAGGCTATGCAGAACTGTAGGTTCAGGAAACAGTCCTCCATAAAATGTGTCACACAGTGCAGGCTAGAGTGAGGAATGGCCGGCGGTCTTGAGAACGGCGCGGCGGTCGGATTCAAAGAAGGAGCGTCCGGCGGGCTTGCGGCAACCACATGTGACGA